ATTTACACATATTTCACACTTCGTTCTCTCTTCGTCCCTTTCAAATACCAGAACCTTAGTTTTATTAGCATTCAAACTGAGACATTTAATTTCACATTCCTCTTTCATACATGTGGCTAATGCCTGCAGTTCTGCCTCTGATGGTGCAATAAGCACTGCATCATCAGCATACAACTGACAATTTACTTTATTGTCACCCAATTTCACACCCAAACAGCTATCTTTCAGCTTCTATAAACAGCTGTCGACATATAGTATGAACAGCCAGGAAGACATGACACAACCCTGTTTTACGCCCGTTTGGGCGCTAAACATGGGTGACAGGTCATGCCCTACCAACACACAGGCTTTACAGTCACAGTAAAGTGACTGCACAGCCCTTAGCAATTGACCATCCACACCATACCCCGGCAACAGTTCCCACATTTTCTTCCTTACAACCTTATCAAATGCTTTCTCAAGATCCACAAAAGCACAGAAAATCTTCTGGTTAGCAGCCAGAAGCTTTTCCGTGATTATGCGGAGAGAAAACATTTGATCCGTGCATCCTCTTCCACGTCTAAATCCGCATTGTGCCTCCCATAGAAATCTTTCCGATTTCTCTTGCATCCTACGTGTCAAAACCTTCGAGTAAACTTTACTTGCTAAACTGGTCAAGCTGATCGCCCGATAGCACTCGCAGTCAAAATGTGAACCTTTATATAAAGGCACAATTACTGCGAATTGCCAATCATCCGGGACCCCTGTCCGCCAGCACAAATTGTACAGCAGATGAAAGCTGTCCCAGACGCGAGGCCCACCATACTTGACCATTTCAGCAGTAACTCTGTCTAGTCCCGCAGCCTTACCACATTTCAAACTTCGAATCGCACGTTCAATCTCTTTCATACTGATGACCTCAGTGTCATCGAGGTCCGGGTCTGGCGTACCAGTCACGGCGTCACCCCCGGATCCCTCACTAAGATCATCACACGCATACATTTCTCTATAAAATTCGGTCCATGGTTGCATGACGTCCGATTTTTCTGAGAGGACGACATTGGTTCTCGAAAGCACTTTGTTCATTCTTAAGGCCGTCGCACCACTTCGGGTCCTTCCAACCTCTTTCCAGAAGAGTTTGGAGTTCTCCTTAAAGTTGTGCGACAACCTTTCGTCCGCTTCCATTCTACACCTTTCACGCACTTCCTTAATCAATGCTTTCGTGTGAACTTACTGCAGCTTATATCTTTCTTTCATCTTCTCTCTCATATCCTTATCATTACTAGAGGCCAAGTAGTCTAACCATGCTTTCTTCTTCTTCTTTACAGCTTCTTTCACTTCATCATTCCACCATGCATCTCTTCTTTTACTACTACCTCTTTTTATCGTTCCACACACTTCTTCCGCTGCACTTACCATTCCATCCCTAAGGTACTGCCATTTTCTTTCCACACATTCTTTTCTGCCATCGAAGGTGTCAAGCTTTTCGCCTACCCTCGCATGATATTTGTTCCTAGTATCCGCTTCCTGAAGCTTCCAGCTTCGGATGCGACAGACCGACTGTGGTTCTGTTACTGCCGTGCGGTAGCGCCAACCCGCGAACTGACCCCTAAATCTAGTAATCACTAGATAGTGATCCGTTCCCAAGTCAGCACCCCTGAACACTCGCGTGTCCATCACCTGTTTTCACAGTCGGTCATCCACCAGGAACAAATCGATCATACTTCTCTCATTATTTATTTCTCTAGTATACGTATGGATTTTCTTGTGATTAAACATAGTGTTTGTCACAAGAAGATCCTTTTCCTTGTATACAGCCAGTATAAGCTTGCCAGCATCATTAACCCTTTTATCGCCAAACTTTCTAAGAACTGACTCGTACCCTGGTCGAGCGGTACCAACCCATCCATTCAAATCACCACATATAACAATTCTTTCGTTTCCCCCAACCAAATCTAGAAATTACTAAAATCACAAGTGATGTTTAGCAATTCCATAAGATGGGAGCAACTGGAGGGGAATAATTTGAGATCATCCATATAGAAAAGGTGGGTCACTTTTGTACTTCCTTTCTGAAGCTGAAATCCCCTCGGAGTCCTCCAGTAAGGGTTCAAGGAGAGGCAAAACCAGATTGGACTCAAACAATCGTTCAGGAAGATACACCTTCTTATCCTTATGCGGCTTTCCACATCCGTTATCCACTCGCCTAGATGAGAAAGGATTGTACTCCACTGCCTTAAACACAGTCCGATGAAGTCTCTAACTGTACAGTCAACCTTGTACAGCTCGAGGACCCTCTTTAGCCATGTATTGCGCACGGAGTCGAAAGCCTTTCTATAGTCTATCCAGGCGGCGGAGAAGTTCCGACAGTTGAGTTTAACCACTTTGCCAATGACCGCGTCAATGAGGAGTGGTTCCTTGATTCCACGACCACCGCCCCGACGTCCATATTGAGCACATGACGTCAACTAATATAAGTCCATGTGACGAATGATTCGCGAACTCAAAATGGATGTCAGCGTCTTATATATGGTGGATAGACACGTAAATGACACCAGTGGTGGGTTCCGATTGCTGGACCCGCAAAGACCCTGCCGACACCAAGCCAGCTGGTGGGGATGATGCATGCGAGGGGCTGCCGGGTGTTCGTGCAGCTCCTCGTGCTCGGCTGGCGGTTCGCATGCTGTCGCGTCCAGCGCCAGCTCCAGACGCACCCTGGCGACCTACAGGCAGCGGCCCTTTGCGCGTATTCCTGAATTCCATCATCCATGTAATGGGCGTCAGTTAACGGGAGACGCCTAGACCCATTTCATGGGGAGGCCATGTGCACAAGCGGGCCTTTGCACCTTCAATTTTGCCGAGAAACGGCGCTAACACCTCATGGCAAGGCGCTGACTGACTGCGTTGACGTAGCAGTTTTGTCTTATAAACATTACGTCAGCGGGCGATGTGGTCGTATATTACTTAAGTAATAAATTAATAAATTGAATTTCAAACACAACGTCCAGTCACAATGGAGTATTGACATCTCCGCAGGACAGGAATATATCGAGTGTGCGTACAAGCTCTGGTTTATTCTCTATTCTCTCGCTCTTTTACTCCGGTTGGATGGCAATCTGACACGACCGGAGAGATAAAGCGCAGGACCAACCTGACTTTACGTGCTGGCCGTAGCAAGTGGGGAAACACTGCAGACTTACTGACTCCGGCCTGCTGCTGAGGAATTTCTTGACAGAAAATCCTAGTGACATCTTGGCCTGATCCTGGACTCCAACATGATATTAGTCGCGTTTACGCCTACTATATCATAGTCTAGCAAAGTTTTTGAGAAAGTAATTTATAGCCAGTTTCTGTCTTTTCTCGTTAAACAATTACTTCATTGCAGTTTCTTAAATGTAAAAGTACTACTGTCGCAGGCATTGCACTTTTTTGCACTTGGATGCACAACTGGTTCTTAGCGTAAATAAGTACTGCTGTGTTTCGTATGGTGAGTGTAGAGAACCGGAGACCTATTTTACTGGAAAAGAGGCATTCTATCTTAGTCCTCACGGCTAACAACGCATCTGCATTTTAATTCGCAAGCGAAGATAGATGTAGATGTCTATGGGCCACAGCAACCACTTACCATCAGGTGGATTGCGTGCTAGTTTGTCACTCTTATTCTATTAAAAAAAATGTAAAAAAAGTCAGATGGCTTGCAGAAAAGAAATCTTGTCCTAACACAAGTCCAAGTAATAAGATTCTGGAAATGGTCAACACCAAAATCAATATTAGTTCCATACGCTTCACTATTCAATGAAGATCTTAAAGTCTCTTTATATTCGTGCTCTTTCCTAAACCAAGATAACGTTTCAATGAGTATTCTCGCCACTCGATCCTTGCCAGTCACAAACGTGCTTGCGTAGCCGGATGTAATCTCGGATCTGCATCTATCTGTGTTAAGAAAATACATTAACTCGTATAACACTGTAATTCATTATAGTCAATAAATGAAAACATCCATCCATTCGATTTCATTACGGCCTAGAACAGTCTTTATTATCTGGTTCATATTTTGACTGGGAATATACATATATATATAAATACTATTATTAAATATTACACATCGAAGTTTCTTTCCAAAGTAGTAGCCTTTATAATAAATTAAATAGGGAACTTTTTTTTATTATTCAATATTGATTATTACATATTACTTATTGAAAGTAATTTTTTTATTTACCACTGGTTCGGAAAATAGTTCTGTCCTGGGAAGAACTAGCAAGAAACACAGCGGGACTTTTTTTATACATAATTTCATTTAACAATAATTTTGTTTATACAATTTTAAAAGAATTTTCATAGAACCAGCATGGTGGCGAGGACCTTATTCCCAGGGCCTATATTCATTCATGTATTCCTTGATATTATAATAACCCTTTTTGTACAGTTTTTCTTTAATAAAACTTTTAAACTTGTTTATTGACAAACTTTGAACATGTTCTGGGATTTTGTTGTAAAGGTGTATACATTGCCCTATAAATGAATTACTAATTCTGTGGAATCTAGTAACTGGTATTACAAGCTTATGTTTGTTCCTAGTGTTTAAGGTAAATGAACATCCTTATTCTTATTAAAGCTATTTATGTTTTTATGTACATACATTACATTTTCATAAATATATTGCGATGCCAAAATTAATATATATATCAACCAGCGACCTGCCCTGGCTTTGCACGGGTGATTTCTGGATCTCGATAAAAGCGCTACCTACCGAGGCGAATTGTTAATCTAAACCATCCAGGGACCCACTCAAACACAAAAACTTTCATCAAAATTGGTCCAGTCATTTTCGAATTTTTGCGAGTCTAACGTACAGAAATTGATTTTTATATGTAAAAATAAATAATATAAGAATATAAATAAAGTAGAAATTTTAACTGTATAAATTGAACTATTCAACACAATACTAATCAATAAAACATACAATATTCAATGATAATATATGAAATATTTATACTTTAAATAAAATTTTAATTTCGCAGAGATGGCAGTCTTAGCGGCTCCGGATCATACAGAAGTGAAGCAAGGAGGCGATATTACATACTTGGACATGGTGGATGAGAGGAAATCACTTGGAGAATCTCAGATACAAAAACTCTTTGCTGGTTCTACTGTATTTTTGACGGGTGGCACCGGTTTCCTTGGCAAGCTGTTGGTTGAGAAACTATTAAGGTATGTGATAATAAAACTGTAAAAAAATAAGGGGTCAGAATGATTTACATACATATCTTACGTAAAGCGAAAAATCAAATCACAAAAAGGCGCAATACGATTGACGCTGTACTATTTTCACATACTGATTAACGCGACAACGTTATGCCGTATGTTGGTACAACTATTATTAATTGATATTCATAGGAGTACACTGCGTCGTTTCACATCGCATCATGTCACCTAGTGTTTTTGTAGACCTAATCAACGACTGGAAAGGGGACCATTACCATTATATATACATATACCATTTTCGTACTCAAGTTATTATTCCATGCATTTATCTGTGACTTAATTATAATTTAAATTATGTATGGTAATATCGTCGTCTCGTAGCCGTGGAACGGAAAAAAATACACTACATCTTATTTTCCCTTTACTAAAATACATAAGCATTATATAGAAATAAGAAATTTAAGCATGATTTGGATGTTAAATTCATAAAAACGTAAAATTTTTCTTTTAATATAAAGTAAAAACCGGCTAAAGAAACTAAAAATAATTTCCACTTATTAGCTGCTGGAGTCAGTGCTAAGACATAGTGCATCGAAGAATTAATACCACGACTTCAGAGGTTACTAAACAGAAAATCTTTTTACTTTTTGAAGTCCATTTTTTATCCCTTTGACCCTTTGAGTGAATTTAGAAGTATTACAAGCTCAAGGTATATAATACTTAGAATATTATCCGAATCAGGTGCTCGCGTACTTTAAAACTTACAGCGAGCGCTTTGCCCCTTACCAACCACGACTTCTGAAAAGATAATGTAGTAATCAAAAGCAGATTATTAAATTAAGATTTAAAAAATATTAAAAACTATTGGTAAATCCAATTAATTGTGCGTGCCTTAAGCCCATTAACAAATTACGTGTAACTTGATTATACGTAATTTTCTTTAAATAGTTTAAATACACACAAGTTTTCCCTAATAACCTTATTACTATACTTCCAATTATCCAATAATTTTATGTCAAATTTCAATTAAAAAAAGTTTGGAAAATCCAAAAGTCAATCTCATATGATCATCATTCAGGTCATTCCATAAAGTCTAAAATGTATTAAAGTAGAAATATACTTAAATATATACACATTACTTACTTTTAGTATTTAATATTATTATAATAATCAAGTATGTATGAAATTTGGTTTATCGAATGTTTTGTATTTGTACAGCGATCATTTTTTGAGCCGCTGCAAATAACCGATACAGTATCCACTTACGACGGCGGTTGACGCCGAAGTGAGTGAGTGAGGCAGTCTATTTAGTAAAATAAGTTATTACAAGGCTGATAAAACATGAGGATGTGGAGAATATGAGGAGGTGGAGGAAATGTATGAGGATATCTCTAGAGCCATGCATTCCTCCAAAACCCAATATACGGTGTTAATGGGAGACTTCAATGCAAAACTAGGCACAAGAGAGAACGATGAGCTGAAAGTAGAGAAATTTGGAATAGGGCAACGGAACCCAAGGGGCCAGCAGCTGGCCGACTTCATGGAGAAAGAGGGACTCTTTATGATGAACTCTTTCTACCAGAAGCGGCCCCACAGGAAGTGGACCTGGTCGAGCCCCGACGGTTCGACAAAAAATGAGATTGACTTCATTATGACTACCAGACGACAACTGTTCAGTGATGTCTCCGTGATCGCGAGGGTGAAAACTGGAAGCGATCACCGATTGGTTAGAGGCACACTGAACGTAATCGTTAAGTTGGAGAGGTCTCGTCTAATGAAGTCAACGCTTCGTCCCCCTCGTGCGCTGTTCCAAAGTCTCGAAACCTTTCAGCTCGAGCTACAAAACCGTTTTCTGTGCCTAGAAGACTGCAATGAAGTGGACGATATGAATGAGAAGCTCGTGGAAACTGTCCATGCGTTCCGAGCTAAATTCTGCAAGACTCGCCGCAGAAGAACACAAAAACTCTCCGATCACACTCTTAATCTCATGGCTGTTAGACGGGAGATGAAGCTACATTCTTCAACAGATTTGACAGCATACAGGCAACTGAACAGACAGATCTCCAAATGCATGCGGCGGGACTTACGCAACTTCAATACAAGCTGTATTGAAGAAGCGATCGAGCGCAACCAAGGCTCCAAAGTCTTTGCCAGAGATCTGTCTGCCAGAAAAAGCCAACTGTTGAAGCTGAAGACCGAGTGTGGCAACATCGTTTCCGGGGCACCTGAGATTTTGAGTGAGATTGAGAGGTTCTATGGGCAGCTGTACATGTCATCGTTGGAGCCACACGCAAGTGTGAGTAACGATCCAAGAGCGAGTCTTATCCGACACTATTCCGAAGATATCCCGGACGTGAGTCTGAGCGGGATTAGAATGGTTCTCCAGGACCTTACAAACGGCAAGGCCCAAGGCGAGGATGGAATTACAGCGGAGCTTCTGAAAGCGGGTAGAAAACCGGTACTTGAAGTCCTTCAGAAGCTCTTTAATTCCGTCCTCCATGGTGGCATTATACCGGAGGCGTGCAGCAGAAGTGCGGTGCTCTTATTCTTCAAGAAAGGTGACAACGCTCTCTTGAAGAACTACAGACCGATTTCCCTTCTGAGCCGCGTCTAAGAGACGTGCTGTTTTCGAGAGTCATTACGAATCGTCTCGCGTGCAGACTTGACGACTTCCAGCCTCCCGAACAAGCCGGTTTCCGAAAGGGCTTTAGCACCATAGACCACATAAATACCCTTCGGCAAGTTGTACAGAAGTCCGAAGAGTACAATTTGCCACTATGCCTGGCGTATGTGGACTATGAGAAAGCCTTTGATTCCGCCGAAATTTGGGCGGTGCTGCAGTCCCTTCAGCGGTTCCAAGTTGACTGTCGGTATATCGAAGTGCTGAAGTGTTTGTAGAATAGAGCTACGATGGCTATCCGAGTACAGAACCAGAGTACGAAATTACCTATCTATTTGCAGAGAGGTGTAAGACACGGTGACGTTATATCTCCGAAACTCTTCACCGCCGCATTGGAATACGTTTTCAAGCTTTTGGACTGGAAAGGATACGGTATTAACATCAATGGCGAGTACATCACTCACCTTCAATTTGCCGACAATATAGTCCTTATGGCAGAATCGCTGGAGGACCTAAGCACCATGCTCTATATGATACTAGTGTATCCCAACGAATAGGTCTTAGGATGAACATGGATAAAACAAAGATCATGTTTAATGTCCATGTCACACCTATGCCGGTAGTTGTTGGGAGCACTAAGCTTGAAGTTGTTGACGAGTATGTTTACCTGGGACAAATAGTCCGACTAGGTAAGTCCAACTTCGACCGAGAGGTCAATCGACGAATTCAACTCGGCTGGGCAGCTTTCGGGTAACTACGAAACATCTTCTCGTCAGACATACCTCAAAACCTTAAAACGAAATTGTACAACCACTGAGTGTTGCCAGTTATGACTTACGGATCTGAGACGTGGTCCTTCACTGCTGGCCGTATGAAGAAGCTCAAGGTTGCTCAGCGAGCTAACGAGAGGGCTATGCTCGGGGTTTCTCTGCATGATAAACTTAGAAATGAGTATATCCGTAGTAGAACCAGAGTAACCGATATAGCTCAACGGATTAGTAAGCTCAAGTGGCAATGGGCCGGCCATAGAGCTCGAAGAACCGACAACCGATGGGGAAGAAAGGTTCTTCAGTGGCAGCCTCGTACCGGTAGGCGAAGTGTAGGGTGAAGCGCCACGAGATGGAGTGACGACCTGGTAAGACATGCAGGAAGTCGATGGATGCAAGTTGTTTAGGACCGTGCTTTTTGGCATTCCTTGGGGGAGGCCTATGTTCATCAGTGGACTTATGAAAGGCTGTAATGATGATGATGATGATGATGATAAAACACCGATAATTTCCGGATTTCTACGCCGAAAAAAATTAATTATAACAAAACAAAAGAAAATTAAACTGCCATTTACATTCCGTGGGTTCCCACATGATAGACGAAGAGATTAAGAAATAGATTGAGTTAAACAATTGATATTTTCAAAAATTCGTATTTACCGCTCCATGCGGACTTGATAAATCTACACCATAAGCCACAAAACCACTTTTTTATGTAAAAATAGCAACAAATCGATTTAAAAAAATATTAATAAGTTCTACAATTATTTATATATCTGATAATGTGCTTTTTATATAATTTATATGTTCAATATGATTGTTAGATACGATTTTATGCGACAAAACGTTGGAATCTTGATTTTTAGGCTAATGATTTTTTATATTTACGCGAACACTACACATTGAATAAAACTAATTATTACCGATTTTATCGCGTTTAATTAAATTTTTATTAAATAAAAATTTTAAAATTAGTTTTATTTTAGGCGCTAGTAGAATATACCTGCGCGCTTTGCGCTTAAGGCATACAATAATGAAATGCTACCAGTCTTGGCACATACAGTCTTCACATATACAGTATATTTTGTATGCTAAATTATTAATCGCATTTCTTGTGAATCGCCAGTTAACTTAAATTCCACGAAAGGCTTGTCATTATTTTATAATAACATATTACTTTGTGGTAAATGCAACGTTCATTTTTATTTATGTCTGTATAATTCCATTACCTTAGAAATATTCCATTCAACTTACGTAGTTGTTTCTCTTTCATCTAAGATAAAATAAACTAAAATACTTTACGATGATTTGGCTATTATGAAAAATGTACAACCTGTAACATTGTTAGGTTTGATTTGAATAAGAGTATACTTTAACGTGTATGTCAATTCTTCATTTATTTTTGCAAAACTTGCAAGGTGTCGTTGTGTCGTGCGTTGTGTTGTGTCGTTGCTTCATGAAAATAAATTCAAAAACAATTTATGTGAAAATGTTATTTGCTGTGACTTGTGTCTTTATGTCCCAGGTTCTGAGTATATAGCTATGTTGACATATGATGTTTACTTAATATATAATATCTACATCAAGTAAACATCACATAAGTAAATCTACAGACACCT